GGGCTAATCTTTGGAGAGCGGCGAGCCCGGACCTTTGTGTTCACTGTCAGGAGGTCACTGGACCTTCTCGAGCCACTGGAGCCGCTTGACCGGTCATCGTCAGACACGCTGAAGGGTGTGGCGCTGGCAGAGCTCTCATAGTGGATGTCAAACTCCGAGTAGCCGGGATCCAGATCTGGCGGCACCAGCCCGAGGTAACTCAGAACCACAAATTTAGTCTCGTACAGGAACCCCTGTGGTGTGCTTGACTGAGAGTCTGCAAAATCTCCCTCCAGGGTGTCCCTCAGCGAGAGGCGGTGCTCCGTCTTTTGAGGTGGAGATGACATCTTGAGATATGTCTTTTTGCAACTCTTGTGGACTTACTTTTTAACAGGCTTTAAAGTTCCAGACCTCAGTTTTTGATAATGCTAGATGGTAGACTTTCAATTCTCTGCTGCTGTTGATCCAACTTTAATTTACTCTTTCACAAGGTGGTACGTTCTCAGTTCCCATCGACATCAACAAATCTCATAGTGAAAATCTGCGGGAAAAAAAACACCTTTTAAATGAACATTGGCCTATACGCTAACATTACAAGATGACTGTTATAGGGAAACAGAAAAAGATTACATAGATGTACCATAATTTTTGGATATAGGCCGCACGGAGTACATGGAGAAATACAACATGTATAAGCCACAGCACGCAAAAATCTGCAAATTAAAATTTGAAGTTGGTGTATTAGCCGCACCGGCGTTAAGCTTACTAGCATCTAACAAGGAAATTAGAGTATAATTGTACGCGAGTGATGTCACTAAAAATATATGTGGGCCTATCCTACATATAGGCCTAGGCCTACATGCATCCGAAATTTGCCAGTTCGATTTCTAATGCATTTAATAAAGCTGGGGTTTCCTAAGCTAATGTAGGCCTATATCAAATCACTTCACTTCAAGTGCATTTTGAACTATGATAAGGAGTCGGGAACTAGGGCAGCTATCAGCGGAAACCAGTTCAAGCTAGTTCCCGACTCCGTACCATCGTTCGAAATGCACTTGTACAAATGAGATCCAGTCTACTCATTATCATAATTGATGCATCGCACTCGGTAACGGAATCGCGCTGGGACCATCGAATGAATGCTGGGCACATGTATGTACGTCCACATCGCGTTGTTCAAAACAAGTCGGATATTTAACGTGTTCACGATCGCGAGGGGAGCTCTCGGAATTGAACGGGAAATTTCACTTTTCATCTGACTCGTTAGCAAACTTAAGTACCTCGATTTAATCATCTCTTTGTGTACCTCAGCCTCAGGTGGCGTACCTAGTAATTTGAAGGCCATTTTGAGGTAAATCTGATGTTTTTGGTGGCCAATGGTGTTTGTTTTTTTTTGGTCAACAGCAGAACAGTATCGCGCGACGTTTTCTCATGGTGTCTAGAGAATAGCCTCCAAAATCATCGAAAAATTTCATATTTTAGTCTTTGTTGTTATGTTTGAAAAATATTAGCTTCATGAATGTCTGCTGCATTGTACGAGGGGGGGTCAGACAAGTCGACCGTTGAGACAACTCGACCGTTGAGACAACTCGACCGTATGTGCGATAAATGGAAAGACAAGTCGACCGTTGAGACAAGTCGCCTCGCATGTTTTTGGGCCTAGTTTTGGAAACAGTACCGGGGATTTTGACGGCGGCTGATCGCAGTTTGGGAGTTATGACACATAACAGAGCAGAGCCGATTTAGCGCAGCGTGATTGTCCGTGCACATCGTTCGTTTTTGCCGGGCCTGTGCGCGCATCTCCGGTGCACGTTAGCTGTCTCAACGGTCGAGTTGTCCCGAGTCGAGTTGTCTCAACGGTCGACTTGTCTGACATTCGTACGAGGTATGACTTACGGAATCTGGGTTGGGATAATACAGGGAAAATGGACTGTTTTTGTAATGCACATGGGGATACACACTCCTGGATTTCGGGATTTTTACGACCCAATTCTTGTAACGTAGGCCTTGTTGTGCCTCCAGATAAGCATTATAGAGCTGGAGTTACCATGGTTACACAAGTTAATTCAGATCAGAGCCATGAAGAAAATTTAAATCTGGCTTTCGCCAGCTGTTTAAGTGAATTACAAACATAAGAATGCATTTTCAATTTCGTTCTGTTATTTAGAACTTTTAAGGATCCTAAACTTATGGCATAATAATTTATCAGTCAGTCAGGGAAAATATTTATATGGATACTGGCACTTTGTATAGTATTAGGGCCTAGGGTAGGGTTAGCCCCAAAATGTGGCCTATTTACTGGACTACTTCCGTAAACATGGTAAACATAGGCCACACAATCCACTAATTTTTGTGAAATTTCATGTTGAAATTTTGATACGCAAATGTTTGCAAATGAATCTGGAAATTTCACGAAAAACAGACATCTGAAAAAGGCAGCACTTTGTGATTAGCCTATAAAGAGGGTGAGTATGCTTCTAAAGTAAGCACCACGGTAATATAATTTAGGTTTTAACTTTTTGTCCGAAAACTGGACCCAACGAATTACTTTTTTTAAAAATCGTCTAAATGGTGGAAAAGAAATAAACATCACACTTCCAAACACAAAAGAAAATATTTGTATGTACGATTCCACATTGTATCATTTTAGTGAGTTAAATATTACTGCAAAACGAACCAAATTGCCGTGAAACTGTATCCTCTGGCCTCTGTCATCGGAATTTCATGTTCGCATTCGCAACTTCGCACTTGCAATATGCATCAATCACAGAAGCAGGGTGACCGTACGGTCGTGGCCAAATTCTGCTAAATGCAATTCAAAAATCTGTCAGATTCATAAAAATCTGCCAAATTCCCCAGAATTACTCGAAATACACTATAAATACTTAAAATCACTTGCAGTTACTGTTGCAGATGTTGTAGTATTGCCTTTTTTAGGTTCAAATAACATTATAATCAACCTATAGTCACATAAAGAAGTTATGAAATTGCGTACATTTCAGGCAAAACGCCGGGTTGCGTCACGACAACGTACGGTTCCCAGTGAGCCTCAGCACCTAGACCAGCCAACCTGTCCCATTAAACAAAAGTTTGTTGAAAAGATTGAAGCGTTTTTAAACAAATGTACCATATTTTTTTTGCAAATTTGTTATGTTTTGATATTTGATATTTTTTGCAGAATTCTGCCAGAAATCTGCCAAAAAACACAATCTGTCATTTTTTTTTGTCCTACTTGTTTTTTAACACAAAATCTGTCAAAGTTAGCCGAAAATCGGCTACAACGGTCACATTGCACGGATGTACGGAAGCAAATAGAGAACGTGCGTCATGACATCTAGTCTGGTTCCCAGACCAAAAGATTCTGACTATCCCTGATGAATAATAGGCCGTGTCCGAAACGGGCTTCCAGAGCTACGGCTACGTCTATTGTCAGCGCGTCCCCGCGTATTTTCAATGGGCGCAGACCTAGACCTAGCTCTAGACAACTGATTCGGATGCAGCCTTAGGTCCGGTAGCCTCCGGTAATACATTGTATTACAATTTACGTCACGTGACTAAAACGGGAGGAATTCCTCCTTTTTCCGAAAATTTTCGAAGTTTGCCGAAGTCGTTTCGTCGACAATCGGATAGCGCCCGAGTATTTCCGAGTGTATAATATAGTTTTAATTAACTGCTAATTGCTTATTAATTTTATTTTAAATGAGTTGCTAATTAAAATTCAATGCTTTCATTTAGAAAACTTGAAATTCAACGACGATTTTGCGTCAAATATACTCGGATCGTATGGGCGAACTTTTTGCTGCGTCATGTACAATTTTGAATTTGACGACCGTTACCGAGATTTTCCAAAACTCGGTCTTCATTCGGCTCCGCCTGCTAACAGTGCTATTTGGGCGCCTAATTTTGAAGATTCCAGATCAACATTAGTCAATATTATCAGTTACAGAAACATCAAACTGTATGATTTTAACTGTATGATATTACGAAGCAAGCGATTTATTTAAAAATTTGATCAGAACATTAAAAGCTACAAGCGATAAAGCGAAATCGGAAACGAAGCCGAGCTTTGAAAAAGGGCCATCAATGTCGTCATGTTTATTTTCAGCCACATCGCGGTCACGTTATTGTTGAACATGTCACGTCGTGTACATGTATTGTCGTGTACATGTGTACATGTATATATACACGTAGGCCAAACGATAAGGGTTTCTCAATTTTGGGAAATTTCTATATAATTTGTGGGTTTTTTTGTTAGCCCTCCTAAAAAGAGATTTATGGGGGGGGGGGGGGATATCGATGGACTAGGGCAATTTCGCAAAACAAACAAATAAACGATAAACTAAGAGATTATCTAGTATAATAAAATTCTTGAATTTTCTCTTATCGTTCTAGTGATGTTATTTAATAATAAAGGGGTTCCAGGACAAAATTATACAGTCGCGACGATCGATAGATTTCAATTTGTAACACCTGTTGCGCATAAAACGCCTCCTTCCTTGCAAAATAAAAACACAACCATTTTTTTTTTGGGGGGGGGGGTCATCTGATGAGCCATTTTATATAACTGAGATAGAAATTGTTTTATAAGTACAAAAAGGGTTTTCATTTTTACCTAGTGCGGAAAATCAATGCCTTGGTGGATACACGACAGAATTTTAATATCCGAAGATAAATCCATCATGCAACAAAAAGGGCGTTTAAATTTCCTCATATCATAAATTTAGAAGGTGCGACAGGCTGTTGCCGGCATGATCATAATAGTACTTTATCGATTAGTTAAAAAAAAAACCGTTTACGTGTATCCGCGTGTATAAACGCTATATTGGCAATAGACTAACATTTCTGCGACATCGACAGAACTCCATTGTAAGTGAATGTATATATGTGTGTTTATTAAACGCATCACTCCTAGCTGGAATAACTTCAGCAGTGCAAAGCGAAGGTGGTGTGCGTTGCGGTTATAGAATCGTCTTCGGATCCATTTAGAATTCATTTTACCGTTCCTTTACTATGAAATGGATATGCTCACACAAACACGACGGGGACTCTTTGTAATTCTGTTGCTGCGTCTCGCGGCGGGGTCTGCCAGCAATGATGACACAACCCCAGTCCCTGGAGGTAAACATGGAGACTCTCTTGAAGATCCTCTTGAAGACATCGTCGATTCCTTCGACAAACTTCTCGGCAGTTCGATTGTGAAAGGTATATTGTGTTTCTTGCTTCCTTGGAAAGAAAAAGATGGGGGCAGGCTGCGTGCACCAGGAATGAGAAAACGAGGCCTTGATTGTTTCAGTCATCTCCGGAGAGAGAACATCAACTTCAAATTCTACATTCGGAGAGCAAAAGATACATTAATCTTTTTGTACAAAGGCTCATGTGTGCTATTTAAAAGCATGTTGCATTTTAGTTCTTACTAAAATATTCCCACAAAAATTGTAACGGTATGCTCCTTATCAGAGAGTACAGTTTGTGCATGTGTTGTCTGAAACACCATACCGGGATCGTCAGGCAACGAACAACTTGAGGAAACACATTCCGGGTCTAAACTTAACTCACATTTTGATAAACTTACAAGCATGACAAGAGAAGTCAATACAGCGGGATAGGCGTTGTCGACATATCCCTCAGACCAACTGCGCCGAGCACGGCAACGTGGCCCAAATACTAGTATGCCACCACATTCAGGGTAAGTAAAAAAAAAAAAGCAGAACCCAAACCCCAAAAATTATATTTCATATTCAACAAAATATGTAGCGCCAAAATAATTTCATAAGCTACTTTTAGATGAAAAAAATACTGAAATTTGTCAATCCGTTCAAAGAATATCACCATTTAAACATAATGATCCTAAAACCTGTTTCGTCAAAAAAAAACACCCAAATTTATTGTGTATTCTTGCTGTTTGGGACAACAAAGAAAATGACACAGAATACTTGTTTCAGCAACTGTCAACAACTGAGGTACACAATATCTTTATTAACAAGCCTGGTTAGGAAAACAATTGTGATTTATAAAATCCACTTTTTTGAAAAGATCGTCCTTGAAAAGGACTTTGTTGAATATTTTTTTTTACTTTTAAACCGAGGTTTTATCACTGGTGGTGTTTATTTAAAGACAATTGTGCTGACGATTCTTGAAATCGCATTTTTTGGACGAAAGAGGTTTAAGGGTAATTGTGTTTAAATGGTGATATTCTTTGAACGGATTGATCAATTTCAGATATTTTTTCATTTAAAGTAGCTTATGAAATTTGCTTTCCAGTCATTTTTATTATTTTTGGTGCTGAATATTTTTTTCTAATATGAGATGTAATGTTTGGGGCTATGGTTCCGCTTTTTTTTTTACTCACCCTGTACATTAATAAAGACCTCAAACCATCAAACCCCAACGGCATATTTTGTTGGAATCTGTCAGGATGGGTACAGTCCCCCTAAACTGACAATCTTTTACATTTAATTGCCACACCTCCAAAATCACAGTCAGAAATAACGTGTTTGCAGTTTCCCATAATTATGGTGTTGGAATTTGCCAGGAAGGGTATGCCGGGTTCCTAGTAAATCATGCTAGGGAGTTAGGGTTTTAAATAGGCTAAAATCGAGAAATTGCAGAAATGCTTCACAACAGTTGTACATTCATTTTTGAAGGGTAACGTGATCGGTTGTGTATTGTACCTGTATTGCTCTCTATTTTTCACATGGAAATGAAATGAACTGATTTTTTTCTCTGGTAGAAAAACTTGCCGAGCTGACTAGAAAGACAGGAAGTAAAAGAGAACAAATAATCATCCTGAAAAAGTCCGACATTGCCGATGATATTCCAGAGGGGGAACTGCACAACACATCCTCCATCGTCAGAAAGATAGGAGATGTAACGCTCGTCGTGAACACCACGATTGATAGCGCACGTGGTGAAGATGGAGTGATGATCACCTTCCAAACGGAGGTGAAACCACCGCCGAATGCCAAGGTAAGTTGTGTTCAGTGAACTGACAAACAAAGGATCAACTGATTGACTGCCGAGCAGCCGATTACTAAGTTCGAGCGATACGCGACCATATCACTCACCGACTCACTAATTCGGTCGAGCGACCGCCACTCAGTCATCAGTGACCGACCGACCCATCCACCTATATACCGGTACCCACGGGCCTAATGGCCGACAGGCCGACGCCACAATTTTTAGTTTATCCCAGTACTAACAGTGCAGACAGAAAAAGGGCTGAGGATAAAACACCGTCTACTTTAAGTGTTCGATCTATGGTCAGAGGCCGAAGTCTGAGGCGATATATGTATTTAGTCCTAAACTGTCCTATTTGCAGAAGGGGCGGGGCACTATAAAGGGGCCTCATTTCCTGGTGGAAAACTCAATGGGTGTTTAACTATAAAACGCTCATTTTAACATCCCTCAAACGTCTGCTCCCTTTCCGTTTTGCCACAAACCTTAATTCGTCACGTAATTTTATGACCGGGGGTGAGATTGGGCGAAATAATCGGCAGAAGGTTTTGGTATCGCTGAGGGCCCAAGAGTAGGGTCTATGGTATATAAACTTGCCTATATTAATGGCATCCCTAAAATACAATTTTCATTTATTCTGTAGAAACTCAGGTCATCAAAACAGCTCTCCCCCAAAATCCCAGGATTCCCAGATTCAAAGGGATTCTTTAAAAAAAAAAATCCCGAAATCAGGAGAAATCCTGACAAATCTCAGGCCTGCTTTAAGTAGATCACATATGGAGACTGGGGGCGCGATATCATAGTTGTGTGAATACGAGTAGACCCGTCAAGGCCTTTTTGATATTTATGTTAAGGTTTGCAAGACAGACAAGAATTGTGACAAACAGCAATTTTGCCATCGGGAGATCTTCCTCGGCTTCGATCTCAGCTACTGCATGGCCTGCTCCAAAAACGGCGACAGGTGTCACGCTGACAGCCACTGCTGCGACAAGAGCCTGTGTCGGTGGGGGCGCTGTCGAGAGGGCGCCACCAGCGGCCAGATTGGGACGATCTGCGTGAAGGACTCGGGCTGCGGTGAAAACGAGTGTTGCGCCTTGGTAGAAGGTGGGCGGACTGAACAATTGATGTAAAATTGTATCACACTTTCAACCAGATAATCACTATGAATAGATTCAATGGACGTCACGTGACATACTGACTTCGCGCGCGCAGTATGTCGCCTGCCCGTATGCCGTATACATCCTTAGCGCTAGACAATGAAAATCTTTCTTTTTTTCAACGCCGCCATTTCCAATGATATACATTATAATTAAATGTAGTTTTTTAAATCAATATAACTGATGATGTTTAACCGACATTAGACCTTTTTGACATTCGACAATCGACATCATAGGTCTACTTCGTTTACATTGTGATACTGATATACAGGGATCGACGAAGCTATCTGCCGCCCTCTCGCGACTGAGGGCCAGCACTGCTGCAGCAAGGACGAAGCGGAGAATCTCAAGAAAGGAAACAAAAAGAACAAGTCATCCCTTTCTCTGTTTGAAAAATTTATCCAAGAAAGGAGCATCCCTTACCAGGGCTTGCCTTTCGAATGTCTTTGCATCAAAGGCTTGAAATGCGTCAACTACGGCCAAACGTAAGTACAAGACTTCAAAGACTTTGCACTATTGCCGAAATAGCTGGCCGGTTCAAACAAGCACGGCTGGGTTGTTGAGGTCGCGTCGATCATTAATTAAACTGAAATCGCACCTTAACTGCCAAACTTAGGCCGAATGGTAATCCTTATCTTTAGGACCCCGTTCCTAGTTTAAAAAACTCACCAAAACAGCTGAGTAAATGACACTCGCATTCTGATATTTCTTGTCACATCTGAACAGCTGGTATTGACACCTGCATGAATAATTGCAGGTTTAATTTTGTGCGAAGAGGGCAGGGCTTTCAATGATGGAAATTACGGGGTAAAAGACGACAACCACAACCAGAAAAGAGGCTCAAAAACCAAGATGGCAACCTTGAAAGCACGATGCAATGAAAGATCAATGCTGATTGGCGCGCTGATAATAAACAAATAACTTTTTTTATCAGCCAATCAGCATCATGTTTTCGTCAGGCATTCACGCGAGTTGTGATACAACGTGCAGGTCAGACGTCTCTGGCTGCAAAAAAGGCAGGAAAGTCACATTTTCTTTAAAGGGAAGGGGGGGGGGGTCAAAATTTACTTTAGCCTGCAGAAGTCTCTTTGGTCTAGACGGTCACCTGCCAAATTGAGTTTTGAACTGAACTTAGGTGTCCTAAAGATAAGGATAACCGGCCGAATCGATCTTGTACATCGATCTTGTACTGATGAAACCTAACGTTGCAACATTGCGATGCCGTAGCTTTTTTTCATGTGGTGCATTAAAACAAAGCACTTCATGCGTCGAATACTGTGGCTAAATTGCCTACAAATACTCAAAACAAAAATTGATGGCACCCACTAAAACTCCATTAGACGAAATTCTGCATTGACGATATTTGGAAAAGTTTAATCACGAAACATAGAGCAAAATGTATAATGCTTAAATCTGGATGTAAATCAAGATTGATTATCCATCACAGATTCGTCAGTGTATTCGATCTGCCAGAAGCTCAGTACGGCGGAGTGTGCGTGCCGGGATGGGCCCAGCCAGACCGGCCGGTGGCTCCAACGCTAGACGAGATCAGCAGGCTGCAAGCCGAGAAGATAGAAGATGTCATCGGTGGCAAGAAGGAGAAATAATAACTCCGTGATACGAGAAATATAATTTACAAATGTACATGTATATTTTAACCAGAATTATTTTCTTGATGCATGTATTGGTCAAACTTAAATTTACACTTAGGATTGATGGGTGTAATTTATAGGTTCAAGCGTTTTATAGTACCCCATATCTGTTTTCTCTCCAGTACTTATCGATCTTGCCTTTAAACTGCTTGGTTGTTTTTGCGTTCACCACCTCTGCTGGAAGCCCATTCCACATATCTACAACTCTCTGGGAGAAGAAGTACATGTACTTCCTTATACAGTCGAGCCCTGATAAGAAGAGCACTGTTAATACAACATCCTGCTTATAACAAGCAAAAATGTAGGTCCCAAGTCTTTGTTTTTCTTTGTTTTCCATACTGATAATACAAGGTACCTGTTATAACATGGTAATTTGTAAAGTCCCCAGGACCTTGTTAGGCCAAAAAAAAAAGTCTCCGGTTTCTGGTATGGAGCTTGCCCAAAAAGTGGTGCGGCGACGCGGCTTTTTTTTTTTAACCTGATTTTTTTGCTTCAAATGTCGGCTGATGACTGCAAATGGTGCCCGACTAAACTTAGTGCAAATATATGGGAGTCCAGAGAGGCCACATAAAGCTTATTCTCGACCATAACCCAATCTAAAAACACGTTAAAATTGTGCAGCAGCAGGATTCCAGTCAAACCAGTGAGTTTGGCGGTTTTGAGACATCATCTTTCATTGAAAAAAACCCTTTTTTATTTTGCCGACGCGCACGCATACCAGAAACCGGAGACTTTTTTTTTTGGCCTTATAAAGGTGCTCGACTGTATTCAGTTCCTTGTTGAACTGCTTCTTGAATAGCTTGATCAGTTGTGTGGCCTCTGGTTTTGTGAGACGGGAAAACAGGTCTTCCGGCTTGATATCATCCAGGCCATTTAGGGTCTTGACCACCTCAATCAAATCTCCTCTCATTCTCCTGACCTCCTAGGGATACAGATGTAACCCTTCCAACCTTTCATGATAAGATTTGTACCCAAGGCTTGGAACCAACTTTGTTGCCCCTAATCTGGTACTACACGTATCATTCAGAAGACTGAATCAATTTCGTCCAATACACCAAATTGACATTTCGTGTTAGCAAAGATATTGTGGGATACAAACTGTGAATAACATCACTGTCCTGTTGCTAACTGGTCATCTATTTTCACTCGGACCGCGTGACTTGTTTTTTTTTAATCGAAAAAAAATGTTTAGAATTGGTACATGCAAGTAAAAATGCCGATTTGGCTGTTTCACTCCATTTCATTTCAATCCAGTGCACAATTTGTGGTTTCAAGTTACCTTTGGCACGCTGCAGGCATTAACTTAGAGAAAGAATTAAGACACTCTTTAGAATTTCATTATATCTTATATATATATACTTTATTAGACAAACAATTAAAAACATTCAACTACATGTACTATGATTACAATTAATATGATTAGAATTAAAACATATCTCCACAACTAAATATACAAGCATCAATATCTTCATGACCCGATTTTCTATAGTTGGAGCAAAGGTCTCATTAAACTACGTTCTATTCCAGTCAGTAAAAAAAATATACCATTGAAATTACTGCAATTTAATTAAAAATTCATTCGAAGACGACCACAAAATTACTGGAGATTAAAGGTGTTTTACATTAAAAAATCAACAATAGTTGCCTTGTGAACTTGGGCCTATTCAGCGTTTCGTTTCGTCAGTGTTTTTCTATTTGAAATGGAAGACCCTATCTCAAGGACCACGCAATGTACAATTTGGTCGACCACTTTCTACATGTAAATATCTTGCCAAATCTGCTCTAATGTGCTTATTATTTACATCAAGTTTTAAGTTAAAATACTTTTTTGGATCAGCAGGTATAAAATCGTGTGCGGCGTTTTATATCAAAAGGTATTATTTTACTGTAATATACAAGTCACGTATATATCGAAATTAAGACTTGTTATAATTGTTATTTCATGTCCTTTTTTGCATTTTCTTCGGGAACACATTTGAAAGACTGAAATGGCCCTTAAATGTTTCAGATTGTTTTAAATGGAGTAATAAAATGTATATTTACAAGTCAGCCATATCAAACGGATAAAAACACGTCATCTGGTTAAAAAAAAAAATTGGGCATAAGAACAGTACTGGACTAGAAAACGGGGTGAGGTTTGGTACATCAGGTAGCGAGTTTTTGGTAATCGTTCATCTATGCCATTTGGCGACAAGAAATAATTCCACGCGATCAGCTTACAGCTTCGTCGAATTTCCAGCCGCCACATCTGCATCCGCCCTGTCGAGAGAAACAGAAAAATACATGTACATGTACATTGTACCACCAAATGCATTTATGGTTCAAAATGACTGTATAGGGCCTACATGTATTCATCCCTATAATCACAGCAGAATTATGTTGCGTTCCTGGTTTGAAATGAGTGGGGTCATTCGTGTGGGTTTTTTTTACATGAAAGTGGAATTACACATTTTTTTGCCAAAAGTTATATTATTAAAAAAAAATCCGCAATGATTTTGTTTAAGAAAATGGGAGTAAGTGGTATGACCAAAAGAAGCAACCGTTTCGAGCGCATGATTTTTTAAGCAGATATTTTCCATACTTGAGAATCTAAAAGTTATCTCATACATGCCTGCTGGACATGGATCAAAACTAACTTGGCTACAAGTTGCAAGAGCGGGGCTCCTGATGAAGACCTTGCATCGGTATAGTGCATGTACAAAGACCATATTCAATTGTATATGTACAACCATTCTAAAACAGTTAAGCCAAGACGAGTCATTAAAGTGAACGGAAATAAAATGCGAGTTTTAAACTCGTAATAGTAGGCTAACCCGCCGCGGCCTTCGCCAAACTCTGTGAACAAAAACTAATTAGCCGGAAAAATACTACAAAATCTCAGTCAACCAAATAGTAAAGGGGTGACATTACCTGAAATATTCTCCAGCCCTGCCAGAAAAGTAGTCCCGGCAAGTGAAGTCGTAGATGACGAAGGAGATGCCGATGATGAGCATCATACCGCCGATACAGCCACCGACCCCGGCAGAGACCTCAGACCAGCGAAACGTCGCTTCTTCCTCTGCATAAATGATGAATCAAAGTACATATACAAATGTACATCAATTAAAAAAAAAATGAACAAAGACATTGACTGAAGAAGGGTCTGAACCTACGACCTCCGAAATACCGTGCCGGTGCTCCACCAACTGTGTCATCCATGCAGCCATGTTTAATAATTGGCAGTTTCCCCATTTTGTTTTGTGTTTAGAAAGAAATACGGGCGTAAACTTAGGAGCCGACTCTTTGGGTTTTGAGTCCTCTTTTCTTTGCAATGCTCCGCTAGCTGAGGGACCTCTGAAAGTGGCCTCTTCTATAAAACTACTGTATGTAGCGTGTACACAAGTATTCGTAACGTGAACAATTCAAGTTCTTATCTTCAGGAATAGATCTATACACTTCTGTACTTCACGGCTTATCGTACAGTGGACAGCTGTCGACAGGCTAACTCTTTTGCGGGTTCTTCCTATACATGTACATGTACATGTTATTAGTTTAAAGGGCTCATGACATTTGTTTCATGCAGTCCTTGAAAATGCACATTTGAGTCCCATTTAACTCTATTTTCAATTTTTGGTTCTGCCATTTTTTGTAAGCAGTTTTGGTGCTTTTTTGTTTTTTATGCAAATACCAATTTCCATATTCATGAGTAAAAAGTGTGATGTCATTTCAGGCAGAAAACTCAATGTTACAGCTATTTCAACACCAAAAGTTGCCAGAAATTTAAATTTGATGTTTTGCTCACGGTGGTACACTTTCTTTCTTTGGTGATCTGTTGTTGTTTTGGTACGTGTCAGTAAGCCAATGAGCAAATTTTTCTCACAAATGTTTTCAATGAGCAACTTATGGCTTAACAATTTGAACATAAAACCCCTAAAGTGAACAGTGTCTTCTTGAAATGACATCACAGCAACAGCGCCCTCATTTGTCAGGAAAAACATGTACAATGTTAAATGTAAAAAAGTGCACTTTTCTAAAAATATAATAACCAAAAGGTATACGTCAGATAGATTTTATACATTTAAGAGGAGTAGAAAGTTGCACAAAATTATGTTCCCAAGTAAGATTCACGTCATGGGCCCTTTCGCAATGACTTTACATCCTTAAGTGTATTTGATGTGTAAAGTGTAATACATGTTTCCAGGAGTCATCGACGGAGTTTTGGCCACTATAAAGAATATTGTACAAAACTGGGGCAATTTTTGTAACATACGCAGTGCACATTAATCCGCAACAATGATTGAGACTTTGTCCCATACTTCTGAAGTCAACATCCGGGACCGGTGTATGTTCCAAGTTGCTAGGGAAAATCCCAAGTGGCTGTTGGTATGACAATGACGTCCACCTGACCTTTGAAGTTCGGTGTCTTTATTCAAATAAGAACAAATTTGCATAGACAATTGATGGCAACCACCATAAATTTTAAACTTGGTGATTATAGCACGATCTGAACTTGAACCATTGATACATTAATGAAATGAATATCGCTGTATATAATACATACGTGCCGAGACGAAGACAGCCATGCACAGAACTGCAAATACTGAAGCCCACCTGAATGCCATGTCTGCAAAAAAATGAACAAAAGAAAGAACTTGCGGTAATACCTGTTCTTGCGGTGTAAATCCGGATTGAAAGGCATGAGGGTCTCAGTGGTATTGGGGGGGGGGGCAAATTGCAAACAATACCAGAACATTGTATAATTCCCTCGATCATAAAAATAAACGGAAAGAATGTAGTGTCCAGACGCCACTTCGATGGTTGTGTACAAAGTCTTTGGAGAGTAAAGGGGAATTTCATTGTCTCTCAGTCCCAGATCTATGTCTTTTCCACATTTTTTGCAATGACTGACCTCCATTGACATGGTATTTGATGAAAAAAAGATGTGGCGTCGGGATGCAACATTCTCTCCAAATAAAGAAAAAGATCTAAAAACAGACTGCAGAGAGTGCGAAACAAAGTATACATTCCACGGTAAACCTTTTGAATTGGTGTTGTTGATTATTATATTGTAAAAAGAGGAGTGAATTTATTATTATTTAAATAGGTGCGTTCTTTTTCAGTTATACGGCCTATAGGCCTTTTATATTGTTTAAATTGACCATGGAGCTACAAAAAGGCGCTCCAGCGATCGCAGAGTTGCTACGCCCGGAATGTAGGTCGAGTTTGTTTAATACCGCGCGCACCTCAAGTAGTTTGGATAGGCCCCGTATAACCCGGCCCAGGGT